GATCAAGATAATGAACAAAAATTATTAATTGAAATTTTTTCAAACACTAAACCTTGTGAAAGTTCTTTACCTACATTATCAACATTAGCTCTAAATGCAATTATTGAATCAATTAATACTATTAGTTCAGAAGAACAAATTGAAGAATCAAAAGAAGAGATTAAGGATATAATTATAAGTTACCATATCAATCAACGTTGTTAAATCATACAGAATGGAAAAGATCAGGTATAGAATATAAAATTTCATCTATTCCAAACATGACAATGTTTTAAGATGACAATGTTTAAATTAAGATTAATATCTTCAGTTATTACAAACAACTGACCTTGTAAATACATCAACGCCAATAGAGACAAATTATCCTTCTATGTTGCAAACCGTTACTTCAATGAATGTATCAGCGTCTTCTATAGCGGACAAAGCATCCATGTCAAGTGTTTCAGAAGACAACAGCTCAAATTCACCAGAAGACTCTATAGACGAAGACTTAAAGCCGAAAAATATCAAGGAACTGAGATTAATACGAAACAAATATTTTTCAAAATTTCTTCTCGCCAAATTAGAATATTCAATTTCCAACCAATCTTGGAAAGGAATTTACGATCTTGAACAATTATACAAAGTACGTTTACCGCCTCTGAAAATCGTCAATAAACTGAAAGATTTATACGGTCAGCAAATTCCAATCCATACAACTGAATTCGGTGCATACGTGCATGTGAAACATGCAGTTATGTTATTGGTGGCAACGAATCAAGATATATTGAGAAGAAAAATTCAAACAGATAATCGTGATCTACTACTAGCGTTATGGTGGATATTCTCCACATGAAACTTCGAATTATGGACAAATTGAATAAGAAAATGTTTTGTCAGGCGCTGGGTCATAATGTTCCAATAGATGTAATAAAAAACAAAATAAAGCAGTAATAAAATTAGTCCGAACCACTCTCTCTGTTTTCATGCTGTTCTTGATCCACCTCATCTTCCACATCACTAAGGAAATAGCCAGCTTCATAACGCTAGTATAACTAAAATAAATGTAAAGAGGATGAAAATAGGTTGATTTACAGAAAAAATGAAAGTAGACTCACTCAAAATAATTTTTGTACAACGGTAGAATTTTATAACCGTAATCTCCATTCCTGCCCCGACGCAACACATTGTACTGGTCATTTAATGAACGAGCTCCTTTTTCCCAGTTGTATGCAGACCAACGATGAAACAGATCAACTTCATTTTGAATACGCTGATTTGTTACCGAAGTCGTTGTTGTTTGCTGTGCTTGTTCTGAGCGTTGATTATTTCGATTTTGACTTTCTTCTGATTGTTGTTGTGAGCCTCTTCCTCTTCTCGAACCTCTTCTAGATCCTCGCTATGTTCTTCTTTGTGATCCTCTTTGCAACGATCGACTTCTGGATTTCTTTAGTTTTGACTAATATAAAATTCGCTCTCATCTAACTCATCATCGCCTTGACTCGGTTGATGTTGACTTTCCGACTCAGCCGCATTCACATTTGAAGCTGTTGTGGAGGTCGTTGTGTGAGATTGTGTTGTTGCAGCTTCTACGTCATCAGCCGAATAGATAACTTGATCTTTGTTCCACTTACACCACAAACATGGCCAAATGGATCGTACGCCTGCTAAGCCCATGATGATAGCCGACATCTTGTAGTCTCCACTATAAGAGAATTTCAAATTGAATTCATACATTTCGAAGCCTTTAAGTGGGATTGTAATAACTTGATCAGGTTTGAACATGTTGATGAATCCTTTT